GTTACGGGCTCTCCCACGCGCTCGTTGCCCCGCGTACGCTGCGGGATGGGAGGGGAGGACGTCCTTTCCGTGCGGGGAACGCGCCCCGCCGGAGAACGCTGCTCTTCTGTTTTTTTCTGCTTGTCCCTTGCGCGGTGGCGGGAGGCAGCGCCGTGGGGCGGCCCTCGTGCCCTCCCACCCGCCGTTTAACTAAATTATTTTTCGGGCGGCCTCATCCTGCGCCGCCCCCTCTTTATGTATTTATTGCGGAGCTGTGCGAAGGGTCGCGCGCGGAGGCGAGCCCACATGAACCAGTGGACGATTTGTTCTTTTGATTTTTTCCTTGTTTTCTGCACGCATCACCTGCCCTGTTTCCCCTGCGACGGCGCGTTGGGAGCCGGCGGGCGCAGCTCTGTCCACCCGTCGCTGGCGCCCTCTACGCGGCGGGCCCGGTGGTTACGGGGCCCCTGCGGACTGCCGCTCCGCGAGCTCCCGAGGTGCCGTTCGCAATAAAGCGGTTGGGTGTGTGAAATGTTTTTTTTGTTTACTTTCGCGTTATGAATAATGTTCGTGTTGATTCGAACTTCGGGCCAAATGTGCCAGGGTGCTTTTACTATTTCTTGTTTCCTTCCCCTAGTGCGGCGGGCTGCGAGCAGGAGGGCCCACCGCGAGGGCTCTTTTTTCTGTCTTGCGAGTGTGCGTGTGTGCTTGTTTTCATTGCTATTGTTATTATTTTTATTTTTTCGGTCGCTGCTCTCCGTCGGCGATTGCGAAGGTTGTCTCATTGTGGAGGGCGATGGCCGTGATTCACCGACGTGACTCTGCCGGCACCCTTCCGCTGACCAGGCGCCGATGCTAAAGCAGCGGCCGTCCTGAGGGCGCAGCTGCCGCGGTGCCCGGAAGAAGGGAGCTGCACTTCGCCAACAGTCACGCACGCTGTTCTGCCAACCCTGGGCGGTCGGCGCTCGTCAGCGGGAGGCCTCTTCGGTGGCGTCTGCGTGTTGTTGTGGCCGCGGGCGGAAACGAAAGGCGGGGGACGGAGCCTGCGCCCTCCTTCCAGCGTGCGTTCTCACGCTGCGGGGCGGCGCGCAGTGGGCGGGCGGAAACGGCGACGAACTTGCGCCGGCAAGTGGGGGAGAATTTCCCGGCCCAGGCAGCCGATGGCGCTGCCGTGGATGGGAGAAAGCGCGCAACGGGCGGTGTGCGGCCTTTGGCGCGGGAATGGCCGCAGTCGCAGCTGCAGAGGGGCGGCTGTCGTGGCACAAGCCAACGCGGGCACCCGCGTGCCCCCTTTGGTTGACTCCGCTGCGCCTGTTCGCCCGCCGCGGAGAAACGGCGGTGTCTCCGGCGCGACTCAGCACCCTCCGCGGCGCTGCGTTCTGTTGCGTTACTTCGACTGACGGTCCTCCAGCGGCGCCGCCGCCCATCCCCGCTGCGGCACGGGCGCCTGACGCCTGGGTTTGCCTCCTCTGCGGAGCTGCATTTTATGCCGGATGGGCGGGTGCGTTTCGTTGCGGGAAGTGTCGCAGCTGGCCGGAGGAACGCGACGCTGGCGGTGCTGCAAGCCGCGCCCTTCAGCGGGGAGCGCAGGTGGCACTTGGAGGGAGCGGGCCCCGCACAGCTCGCGTTGGGAGGCGCCACGTTGAACGGTACGTCTACAAATTCCACCACTATTGGGGGCGATTGGCGATGCGGACCTGCCGCGTAGTTTCCGGGCGTGAAACAAGGCCCGTGCGCTGCAACTGTGCGCCGCGGCGGCCCCAGGCGAGGAGCGGTCCTCGGGGCTTGCGGCCCTCTGCGGCGGCGCCGTGCCTTCTTGTCCTTGTCGTCTTCTTCCTCCCTCTGCTGCTCCTGTTCGCCCCGCACCGCGCAGCCGCCCAAGCCGCAATTCCTGGCGCCCCAGTGAAGTTGCTGGTGCTGAGGCAAACTGATCTTGGCATATTCACCAAGCTCGCTACCCCGTTTTACGCCGGCGTGTATGCCTCGCTGAGGGCGCACAACTCCACGGCCGCGGACGACATTCGGGTTGAAATTGTCGAAAGGGAGACGAAATCGCACAATACTGTCACCGTCCTGGAGGACGCGATGGAGAAAGACAAGGACATCCTCACTCTTTTGGCACAGTTTGGCTACGCTTCCGTGATGAAGGTGCTTCCGGTCTTGCCTCGCTATGGCCTCGTCTCTTTTGCCCCAATAACCGGGTCGAGCGTGGTGCGTGGGTGGAGCCCCAACGTGTACTTTGTGCGCGCCAG